TCTTGTCAGACCGGGGTGATAGATAAAGAAATTTCGTTTTTTGTTGACAAAAATAGCAGCCGTATTTAACGTGGATAGTTAAACTAGAGAGGTTAAAAAAGTAAAAACAATTAAATTGTCCATTTAATTAATAGGTAAAAAAAAAATGAAGAATAAGGTTGTACTCCTAATTCCTATCGTTTACACGAATTAATTGAACCTGACACTCATCTGTCCATAGCTGATGCCTAGGAAGTTTTGGTGGAAAGTTTGTATCCCCAACTCTATTTAATAATATTCTAACTTATAAATATCAAACTATCAGTCATATCGAAAATAACTCATTATTTATTTAAATTTTTTAAATAAAATATTTTATTGCTAACTGCCATGACACTTCACCCAAAGCTCCATCAAATTGATGGGGAAGCCATGGCGATCACTAGAGAAGCTTGGCCTAACGTATTGTAGGTAGATTTGCGAGTTGTGTGAAGCTTTGAAGTGTGTACGCGGTGGATAAGATCCGGTCCACGTAAGCAGCAGATTCATTAATTATTTATGTACTCTCTAAATTTTACTTCTGATGTAACAAATTGTAATAAGTTCTTTTTTTCATGTGGGTCCCAATACAAGTGTCTACATCAAGGTTTAATGTGTGGGAGTACAAGTTGAAAGACCATGGGTGATTAAATTTTGAAAGTTTAAAGACTATGGGTGGTTAACTCGGACTACGAATGGTAACAATTTGAAAGTCGAAGTACCATGACCGATAATTTGAAAATTTGCTGACTTGGTTCATTTGGTGCGGGCAGGTCTTCGCGTTCAAACTTCGCGTTCAATCCATGCCATATTTGTTCCTATTGGCGGAGGTGGACTTATTGCAGTTGTTGCTGCCTATATTAAAATGGTTAACCCCCAAGTAAAGATAATCGGGGTTGAGCCCAGTGATGCAAATGCTTTAGCATTGTCGTTGCATCATGGGAAGAGAGTAATGCTGGAGCAAGTAGGAGGTTTTGCAGAAGGCGTGACTGTTAAAGCGGTAGGCGAAGAAACCTTCCGTATATGTAAAGAATATGTAGATGGAGTGGTTTTTGTTGGGCGTAATGCTATGTGTGCATCAATACAGGTTAGTCATCCCATCCCTTATCCCTTTTAAATTCATAAATATGCCTGCCAGCCTGCCTTTAGTTCCATATAATTGTATGGATTAAGTGTGTCAAACAGTCTCATATTGAAGAAAAAAAAATAGAATATATGAATTTATAAAGCTTGCTAATTGATTAGATTCAATTGGTTTGTCTCATGTGTATTATAGTTGATCTTATAGTTGATAGATCTTGATCTAATCTTATTGAATATATAGTACTCAAATTTAAAAGTTGCACTGCTCACTTGTATGTAGGATATGTTTGAAGAGAAAAGGAGCATTTTAGAGCCGGCAGGTGCTCTTTCCCTTGCGGGAGCTGAAGCATACTCCAACTATTACAATCTCAAGGACCAAAACATAGTAGCAATAACCACCGGAGCAAACATAAATTTTGATAAACTGAGATTGGTAGCAGATGTTGGTAGAGAACTTAAGTCTAAGAGAAATGGAATTTGGTGGCTACTTATTTTATTGTTGATGATATATTGCATTATACGAACTAAAGATTTTTACCTATCTCTCTCTCTCTTTCTCTCTCACTATCTCTCTCTCTCTCCCACCCCCACGCTCGAATTTTGGGCTGTACAAGCTGGGCTACCGCACTGGGCCCCAAATTTTAGAAGCTCAATATTTTATTTTTACCTAGTTAATTTAGAAATAAAAATTAAAAGTTTTTAATTAAACATAAAAGGCTTTATAAAGAAATGGTAGGAACATGTATTTATTGTATTTTATGTCGCCTATGTTTTTTTATGTAATTCTTGCTTGAATTCGAGCAAATAATTGCCCAATTATTCGTGCGATGTGCGTGCAGTGTGCGTGCGATGCACTGATAATTTTTTTTTTGTTATATATTTAGATAATAAAATTACGGTATTAGTTTTATAGATTTTAATTTTGGTATGGCCTTATTTATTTATCCGAACAGGGCCACAAAAATCTAAAAAACGGTCCTGGTTGCCGTACCTTATCCTTTGCCTGGACGCTCTTGTGGGAGTCCTCACTTTGGCAATCTTCATGATTTTGTGCAGTGACAGATGTTTCTACAGGAGTGCTAGGGCCGTGCGGGACTTTGATGACGGAGACGGTGGCCATGGAAACGACGAGCCGGCGGCGCCACCGGTGCTTTAGGAGGTACAACTTTTTGGTCATTCTCGCTGGCCAAGAAAATTCGACTTAATATGTAATTAATATGTTACTAATATTAGTGTTGTTATGTTTTTAGGATCTGTTTGGAATAAACTCTGCGGGTGATGGATATTTTTAAAGCAGTCTAGGGGCACTATTAGAGAACCTGTGAAAGAGGTGGAGGAGTTTGCAGAGGTTGGAGTGGCTAAAAGATGGTCATCTAAATTAAGGTAAACGTGCAGCTGACTGCATTATATTGTAGGAACATTTATTTATTGTATTTTAACTTTGAGGTCTAAGGTTCAAAACTCGTGCACACTATTATTATTCTATAATATGTCTATTTTTACATGTGCGTTGCACGGAAAAGATTTGTTATAATCTTAAAATATTATATAGTGCAATTGATGAAATGAGTTGTATCGATTATGTTTTTTTATGTTATTCTTGCTTGAATTCGAGCAAATAATTGCCCAATTATCTGTGCGATGTGCGTGCAGAGTGCGTGCGATGCACTGATAATTTTTTTTTTTTTTGGTTATATATTTAGATAATAAAATTACGGTATTAGTTTTATAGATTTTAATTTTGATAGGGCCTTATTTATTTATCCGAACAGGGCCACAAAAATCTAAAAATCGACCCTGGTTGCCGTACCTTTTCCTTTGCTGGGCGCTCTTGTGGGAGTCCTCACTTTGTGCATCCTGGCCTGATAGACTTGCTCTCATGGTGGCCTATAATAAATATTTACTTCGTTCAATCTGTTTCATTGAGTCTTGAGTCTTGACCACTTCCTCACAGGCCGCCATGTACGCTCTCCATTTAGCCTCTCCCCCCAATCTCCATTTGGTCATCTAAATTAAGGTAAACTTGCAGCTGACTGCATTATATTGGTAGTAGAAAATTATGTTGGTTAATAATAATTAAAAAAAAATAGAGTTAATACCACAAATGGTCCTATGACTATTATGTAATAAAGGTATTTGCCATAACATAGATGAACTACAAAATATTATCACTTCAAATATGTAATTAAATACTTGGTTTTCAAAAAAAAAATGTAATTAAATACTCAATATGTGAAGTCCCAACTCCCAAGCTACCAATAGAAAGAAGTAAAAAGAATATTAAAAAAAAAAACTGAAATATAATGAATACTATATATGATTTCTCAATAATACACATTTTTGAAAACCAATTTTACACTTAGCTTGCATCCTTTGAAAAAAAAAAAAAAAAACTTCACACAAACATTATCCTGCTAAGCTGCTTTTGTGCCATGCATTGAGGATTTCTCAACCTTTCACACTCATTTGCAAATGTAACTTAATTCATTCCTACAATTCACCCGAATCTGACCATTATTACCCTCCAATGGCTTAATATTACCAATCTTAATCATAGACCCAGCAAAATCATTAGCAAAAACACGAATGTTTCCGCTGTAAGTGATGACAAGATTATCAGTTTGACCACCATTGAACAATACTTGATCCGAGTGCAAAAGTCCTTTGTTCATCACCAAGTTACTGAACTATCTTGTGTCAAAAAAGGCAGGAGAAGGGTCGAGTGGAGCAAGGGTAGAGTTGCCTCCAACGCGTGGACATGAAGCTTGGCGTTGTGCTGCAAAACCTTGTGCTGCGAAGCTAGTGGACACACTCTTTGATAATAGAATGGGGAAAGAGAGTCGGAAAATGCCATATAAATATTTCAATATTTATTATTATAAAAAACAATCCGTTGGTTACAACTCGACCCCACCAATCCTCACACAAGTTTTTGCCTTTATCCTTTTTTTTTTTGTTGGAAAAACAAAATGTATTAAAGCATAATCAAATGATTATACAATTACGTAGAGTAACATCCCAAAATGTTTGACTAGACCAAGGGCCAATTAATGATACAACCAACGTAGGATAGCTCTGAGAGATTCTTGGTGAAGGAATTGACGACATTGAAGCAATCCAAGTATGATACAAGCAGACCGTTGGTGGCAGCCAGATAGACCAAAAGATGATATACAAACAATGCTCATAGTATATATCCACAGTATTAGAAGAAAAAAAAAAAAAACTACTCAAACCAGTCCCCGAAACCCGTGGCACCCATCACCAAACCCGCATGAGATGGGTATGGCAACAACTTGTTTGAGACAAGTCGGATCAAGATGAAAATGTAATACGTATACACACAAATGTAATACTAATTAAGAATAAAGTGTTTATTATTACTTGTATGAAAATTGTAATTGTAATACTTTTAAGGAAAAAAATGTAATACTTTTATATTTTGATTTAAAAGTATTACATTTTTTTCCTCCAAAGTATTATATTTTCTTTCTAAGTAACAAATACTTGTCAATATTACTTATTAGGGAAAATGTAATACTTTTGATGGAAAATTTAATACTTTTACATCAAAATATACAAATATTAAATTCTTCTTCAAAAATATTACATTTTACATTATAAGTAATTAATTAACAAACATTTTATTGTTGATTAGTATTACATTTGCGCATATAATAAGTATGACATTTGAGAGCATGCATATAAGTATGACATTTGCATGTTGATTTGATCTGACTTGACTCGACCTATCTCAAAAATAAGAATTCGTGAGAACATCTCATACAAGTGTGTCCCCGTGAGTATATATATTGGCAAACTCGACGTGAAAAGTGAGTATTACGGACTTTAGGAGGGGTGTTGAATCTGACCATGATACCAATAAAAAGAAGTAAAAAGAAGAACAAAAAACATTGAAATATAACGTACAGATACTATATATGATTTCTCAATAATACACATTGTTGAATAACAATTTTACACTTGAATAATTAATCCATTGGAAACAAAAGAAAAAACTGAACACAAAGAATTTCACACAAACATTACCCCCAAGCCTGCTTTGGTTCCATTGAGGAACTGCAAATGTAAATCAATTCACATTCCTACAATTCACCCGAATCTGACCATTATTACCGGTCAAAGGCTTAATATTACCCATCTTGATCATAGACTGAGCAAAATCATTAGCAAAAACACGAATGTTTTGGCTGTACGTATTGACAAGATTATCAGTCTGACCACCATTGAACAATACTTGATCGGAGTGCAAAAGACCTTTGTTCATCACCAAATTACCGAAATATCTAGTGTCAAAGTAGGCAGGAGAAGGGTCGAGTGGAGCAAGGGTAGAGTTGCCTCCAACTTGTGGACATGTAGCTTGGCGTTGTGCTGCGAAACCTTGATCGATGTTGGTTTCCTTATAGATGCGATCTCTGAAGGTTCGGCATTGGGCAAGCCCCAATGTGTGGCCGCCGGAAAGTGCAACGAGGTCTTTAACATCAAGGCCTTGCTTTGAGAAATTGTCAATCAGAGCTCTCAAGTCCATGAATGGTGATGGAAGGTTGTTGTCGGCGTCAGTTCTGCTGGCGGTTGTGGAGTCCCTTCTTCCAAGTTGCACTGTCCATGATGGACCTCCTAACTGTGAAACATATATATAAAGCCAAAGTATAAATTGAAAATATTCACATATATAATTAAGTAGTTTGGAGTGTTGGTTTTATTTTTGCTTAGCTTGAGGAGTCATGAATTTAAACTGCTTACCGCGAATACCGAGTCACGAGCAGCAACAGCCAAAATGTCAGCACAAGAGACTACAGGACCATTACAGACATTATCAACTGCAGACTTGATTCTGTCAATAACTTCAAAACCACGGGCAGAATTATCATTAGCTAGAGAGTTCTTTTCACTGTCAATGGTGGAAGTAGAATCCAGTAGAATTGATGCATCACAACCCTGTATTATTTCAAATCACGCCAAAGAATAAGATTCCACTCAAAATCATATGTGATAAAAAGTATGGGTGAAGATAAGAATTAGACTATTACGTTAACGAAACAGTCATGAAAATGCAGACGCAATAAAGAGGCACCCATGCGACACTCTTGTCTAACGGCATTGAAAACAATGCGTCGAATGGTTGGCAAAGCTTGAGGACACACTCTTTGATAGTAGAATGGGGAAAGAGAGTCAGAAAATGCCATTGTGACAAAAGAGAACAACAGTATTGTACTGAAGAAGTAGCTACCGGAAGCCATTTGAGCTAGCTAGGTTAGTATAATGGGTTATTGCAGCTTCAATTACTACAACGTAACGTAGTGTAAAACAAATATGCAATTGAGTTTTGTGTTGTGTTGTGTTGTTTGGTGATCTTTGATACTATGAAGCATAAACCTTTTATAGGATAACCCAGAGCACAAGTTAGCACACTTTAAGACTTGGCCTTGTTGCAGCCCTAATTAATAATTGACAGTTTCAACGCGGCAACGAATACCTATTCTCAAATTAATTAATTTGAAAAGGTCCTAATCAAGACAAGGCCAGTTTGCCCTACACAAGCAGATTATAGTTGACATCTTTGTAGAATTGCAGTGTAATTATTCAATTATTGTTTTTATATTGCTATTGTTTAATTGGCTGTGCATTTAATCCAAATTAGTAGTTGTCGACTTTCGTAACAACTTGCTTGCGATGCAAACTAACTTAGAGTCCGTTTGGAAAGCAGGAAAATGACTTCTGGAAAATAACTTCAGAAAAATGAGTTATTTTCTGAAAAATATTTTCCTTTCTTGTGTTTGGCAGCACGGCAGAAAACAGTCTTTGTGTGTTTGGTTCATTTTCGGAAAATGAGATAGAATTGTATAATTAACCATTTTATATAATTAATTATTTTATTTAAAATAAAAAAATTATAATAAAATTTATTTTTTAAAATCAAATAATATTATTTATTAAAAAGTTAATAAAAAAAAAAGAATACGGAAGAAACCAGAGAGAACTTCTCTCTGGTTTCTTCCGGCGAGGGAAACCAGAGAGAAGTTCTCTCTGATTTCCATCTTCACGTTTTTTTTTTTTTTTCTAAATAATGTTTGCGGCAGAGGTTTCCGCCAGAAACATTGTTGGTGGAGACATGGAGTTGTTTCTGCGTTGAAGGAGGAGGCGGAATTGAAGGTAAGCAAATGTGTGGAGAAGATGGAAAATGACTTCCTCCCAAAAAAAAGGGAAGTCAATTTCCAGAAATTTGGGCTCATTTTCCATTGACTTCTCTTTATTTTCCTTTGACCATTCATTTTTCAGCCTAGTCAAACACCCAAAACCCGGAAGAAATCATTTTCCGAGTTTTCAAACAGACCCTTACTAATTTCGCTCATTTTAGGTCCTTAACCTTTAGTTGGG